TATTGCAGCTGTTTGTGTGTGAAATGTCTTCGCAGGGAGATATTTACCTTGTCTCTAAGAAATGGGCTCCATATATGCTTTCTAAACTGTTTAAATCGTACTCCCATAATGCTTTGCGCGCTTAGAGTTTAAGGTTTAAGGTTTTTAGAGTTTAAGGTTGTCAAAGGACAACCTTTATTGAATTAGCTGTATATATATATATATATATATATATATATATATATATATATATATATATATATATATATATATATATATATATATATATATATATATATATACTCTTCATGTATTAGTACTGGACCAATAATAGATGGCGGTGGTATGGAGCAATACGGGGTATGCCCATAAGTATGCTTTACTGGACCTCCAACAGTTGGAATAAATCCAGTTTGAATAAAGTCTTATTTTCTACAGAGGTTGTTAAATTAATTCCCGACTGGCAAGATAGACAAGAAATAGTGAAAGGCGATGTCCTTATTTTAAAAGCAATCGCACACTATGGTAAAATTCAGTGGTACTGGAATGGTCAACCTATAGACCGACATTTTCAAAATGGTAGCAGTACAAATGTTCGTAATATCACTCGGAAAGTTACAAAAATTGGAACTGAAATTGTTAGAGACGAACAGACGCTGAGAGTGGAAGGTATGACGTTGTATAATAGAGGCATCTATCAAGTCTTAGCAACTGGATTTCATAGACAAGATTCGGAACATACTGAAATCACCTCGTATGGTAAGCAATGGTCCATTCCGCATGGGGGATCTTAATTAGTGTCACAGTGGTTAGGGCATGTCTCCTTCATCTCCGTCACTGCGGTTCGACTCCCGCAAAATACGGTTGTCTGATTATATAATTTCATCTCAATCGTATGTTAGAAGAGTTCTTCCAGTTTGATTTACGCATACATTTCCTCCTGTAGTAACACTGGACCAATAAGGGATAGCTCTTGCTGCACCTCTAGGGAGAACAGTTTAGAACTGATAGAGCTATCCAGTATAAATAAAGTTAGTACAGTTTAGGTTTCCTCGTGTAGAAACACTGGATCAATAAGAGATGATCCTTACTGGACCTCTAGGGAGAACAGTTTAGAACTGATAGAACTATCCAATATAAATAAAGTTAGTTTAGTTTAGGTTTCCTCGTGTAATAACACTGGATCAATAAGAGATGATCATTACTGCACCTCGAAGAAGAAGAGTTTAGAACTGATAGAGTTATCCAGTATAAATAAAGTTAGTATAGTTTAGGTTTCCTCGTGTAGAAACACTGGATCAATAAGAGATGATCCTTACTGGATCTCTAGGGAGAACAGTTTAGAACTGATAGAGTTATCCAGTGTAAATAAACTTAGTTTAGTTTAGGTTTCCTCCTGCAGTATCACTGGAAATTTAGGTTTCCTTCTGTAGTAACACTGGATCAATAGAGATGACCCGTATTGAACCTCTGGAGAAAACAGTTTAGAACTGTTAAAGTTATCCAGTATAAATAAAGTTAATTTAGTTTAGGTTTTTCCTGTAGTAACACCGGATCAATGTTAATAGTCGGTCCTTGCTGTTCCTCTAGGAAGAAAAGTTTAGAAGTGATAAAGCTATCCAGAAAAGTTAATTTGATATATGTTATTGTTTACCTAGGTTGTGGAGGTATACACAAATCTCAATCTGGCTCACTTAGCACACCGAACTTCCCAGAATCGTATCCAAAAAACATTGAATGTCTTTGGATCATAAAGCCTTACCCCACGCCAAATCCTGACACGCTTTACCTCCAAATTGACCATCTTGATATCGGTGCTTGCAAAGACAATCTTCAAATTTTTGACGGTGAAACAGGAATGTTAACATTTTCAAATGGGGCGCAGCTTCGGTCTCATTTGTCCGCATTCAGATTGCTTTTCAAGTCTTTTTCTTGTTCTGGTGGAAATACTGGGTTCAATGCATCGTACTGGATATCAGGTATCAACAAAACTGGTTTGATTGTAATATAAAGGTCCAGTGAGAGTCATCCCTTTTTAATCCGTGTTGCTACAGGAAGAAACCTAAACTAAACTAACTTTATTTATACTGAATAGCTCTATCAGTTCTAAACTGTTCTTCCTAGAGGTCCAGTAAGGATCATCTCTTATTGATCCAGTGTTGCTACAGGAAGAAACCTAAACTAAACTAACTTTATTTATACTGAATAACTCTATCAGTTCTAAACTGTTCTTCCTAGAAGTACTACAGGAGGAAGACAAAACTTATCCCTTACATATGCTTCTATTTTTAGGGCCCACCACCTTCCCAACCACTCAAGTAGCTGAGCCAACTTCTTTGCCGACAGAACGTGAAACAAATGGACGCACAACTCAATTTACAACTAAAATTAGTACAGGTATTGAAGTCTAAATGACAAGATAGTTCTAGGATATTTAAGTCTTATCAACGGTATTGTTGGAGGAGTTTCAAGCCATGTTTTATTGCATTAAATAGTTGAAAGAAGTCAAAGAACTACCATCCCGGAAAGAAGTCAAAGACCTACAAGCCCGGAAAGAAGTACTGAAAAAGAAGGCTCGGTCGAAGAAAGTAGATTAATGAGTGATTCGGGTAAGCCTATATCGTTTGAAATTCATGTCCAAAAATCCCATCAACATTATAATCCTGGACAGATATATCATCTATACAAATTATAACACTAGATATCTGAATCTATTCTTTTAGTAATCCGATCTTCTAGCAATCTATTCTTTTTCCTTTTCAGCTATCATGTACGGAGTGATTGTCTTAATTTGTTTAACTATTCTCGTGATTGCCTTGCTTCTTATAATAAAAAGGTAAGTTGGAGTAAGAAAACCACATCATGTGTCTCGACAGTTGAAGTGAAGCAATGCACATCCCGCACTGAACCTTATTCCTAGCTGTAGTGTTACTACGGGAGGAACCTAAACTAAACTCACTTTGTTTATACTAGATAGATCTATCAGTTCTAAACTGTTCTTCCTAGAGGTTCAGTAAGGATCATCTCTTATTGATCCAGTGTTACCACAGAAGGAAATCTAAACTGAACTAACTTTATTTATACTGGATAGCTCTAACTGTTCTCCCTATAAGTCCAATAAGATGCTTAGATTAATGTCTTATTGGTCTTGCATATTTTTAGGAAAGGAAATTTCATCCTGACTTGTATTAAAGGAAATAATAACGACAACAGAAGGGAAGGTTAGTTAACAAAGCATATATTTTACTAAAATCAATATACCATGGCTATAAAGTATGTCGGTTTTTAATACACTTTGTAGCGACGGTTAACCCTGTATTCATCTAGTGGTACTTCATGAGAAAACCTGAAGAAAACGTGTGGTGTTTGATGGAGTTAAACTGGAAGCACTCCTCACATACACGCGCAAAAATCGCACAGCTTGTCAACAAGATGTGTTCGCACTGCTTGTTCTCAGTTGACAAGTCTGGAACAAGTTGTCATCATCTTGTAACAAGGTTGGTTGGTCAGAGGAAAACAGACTCGCAACAAGTTGTTTGAACAAGTTTGATATCGTCTGCATGTAACAAATTGATGACAACAAGCTCGTAGCAACTTGTTACGAACAGCCTGTATTAGTCTTGTTGGACAACCTGTAGAAAGTCTGTTACCGTCATCAACCTTGTAACAAGGTGATAACAACTTGTTCCAGACTTGTCGGAACAAACAGTGCGAACACATCTTCATATCGGCTTGACAACAACCTTGTTACAATCATGTTTCGCTCGCTACTCTAGTTTAAAAAATGATTACAAAGCCCAGTCGAATTGTAATCAAGACCCAACGTTTCGACACTCCAGTCTAGTGTTTTCATCAGGGGTGATCTAAAATTGCAATCGTGGCTTCTTAAATACCCAAGGGATGACGTCACCTGCCAATGAGATGCATATATTCTTCTGGCAAATAGGCACCGTCATCCCTATTCAAAGCATGATTACTCATATTTATATGCCACGCTTCTAGGCAAAGTCTTTGACCATAGCGATTGTTTGTGGTAATTACTTTAGAGTTTTCCCACGCAATCTCGTGTTTGGTGTAACATACATGTTTGGCTAAAGCTGATTCTCCCTTGTCTAAAGCAATTGAACATATTGAAAAAAAATGATCTTGATCAATCTCCTAGGTACAGAAAGACAAGGACATGAGCTGAACCAGTACCCCTCCGCATGCGAAATAATTCTCTATGACACCCCTGGAGAAAAGGACGCCGGGCAATCAACCAATGAAACGGAAGATGGTCCAATATACGATGTCCTGGAAGGTCCTGGAGAAGAACAAGGCAGTGAAAATCCTGACCAATCAACGAACGTCTACGCGAGTGTGAACGAGGTGTGTATGTCGGAGGAGCACCCCACCTCTCCCCTAGGGAATTTCGAGGTAAGTTTCCTGGAAGAGATCTACACCACGCTCACGGCAGATCGCGAGAGTGAAGATGTGAATATTTATGAGTCGTTGCGCAGGGGGAATGCTGGGAATGAACAGTGTGAGGGGTGGTCGGTGGATGGAATGCAAAGCACTGATCAGGATTATGTCTCTATTATAAATTAAAATGGCAGGTAATGTAAAACTACAGTAATCCTCAGCCCTTCAGAGAATAATTTCTCTGACACCCCTACTCCTTAGAAAATGAAAATAGGCATCTTCCTTATACTAGCTTTCTGATGAAACCAGAATTTATCATTTCACATATCATAGTAAAGGAATTGTGAAGGTTATTCAGTATATAACATTTTTATACAATAAGATTTCATTAATCTAGATTGTTAATAGATTGTCAAAAATTTTACTTTAAATCAACCATGCCGTGGTTCAAAGGATCTTAAAATCTAATTGCAAGTTGATACATTGTGAATTCTTTAAATTACATTTTATGTGAATCATACTTAATCAATGGTACATAATAGTGTAAGTTAGTAATTAAACAGAAATAATTGCATTAATTAATAATAACTGAACATAATATTGGCACCTTGTAATACTAAATACCACAAAATTACTAAACGTACAAATATAATGTACTGTATATAATACCAATATCAAGATGATTTTGTACTAAAATTCTGAAGCCACTACACAAATTTATTTCCCACGCTGAGACTTTGCTGCTTTCAACAAAGCATCAGCAAGTTTTTCCAGCTTTTCTCTGTACTCCAGTTTATTATAATTACATGGGGGTACCCCTTTCATACCATATAGTCCACCCCACCATGCTGCAGCCATCACCCCTGTACTGTCACTGTCGCCACCATGAAACATTGAACCTGAACACAACTCGTACCACGACTCTCCTGCCCTCAGGAGTGCATCGTATGCAATCAAAGGTGCATCGTGTCCGCTTGCCCCGCCCCATCCGGCATAACTGACCGATTTGTAATACGCATCTCGCTCTGGGATTCCATATTTTTTCGGAAACTTGGGTTGGCTCATACCATCAGTTATCCCACGTAATTTGAGATAGGCTTTCCATTTGCTGGTAAAATAGTCCCAAGCGTTTTTATTTTCTTCTACATCTCGGTTAACCTTGGCGATGTATGCCCAAACCTTTGGTAAGGTAATGATCAACATGGCACCCCACCTTTCCACAGGTTTCCTCTGGATGCAATAAGCCGTCAGTAATGCTGTTGCAACTGAGCCGAGATATCCTAATGAATGAAATAGCAAAGATGAAGGCTTGTTATAATTGGTAATTACTGGCATTCTGGCAAGCAATCAATGTACGACAATCATGTTAAAATAGATCTAATCAGCAAACACAGGCAGATCATAATAGAAAGGTGATTGGGATCACCTCTGAGATTGTGGGTTCGATTCTCACTACGGAGTGGACTCTGTCAATGCTTTGCCAAAAGGGTGGGTTAGGATAAACATTGTCAGGAAAGTAATATCACAATTGTTCTAAAAATAAATAGTCTAAACTTAGGGGCTGTTTATATGGTCCGCTTACCCGGGATTCAATGAAGTGTGAAGTATTTTGAGCAATTGAAATATGTTTTTTAGCCCTAGACAAAAGTTAGATAACTTTAAATATCGTTTAAACGAAATTAGGAACGCGCTAGAAGTTATGTAGTGGAAGGTATTTTGCCCAATTTTGTTTTCTCTGACTTTTGTTTTCCTTTGTGCGAATTCACCCTTTGACTTAATCGCGTCTTTCATAGGACGAATGACTGAAGATTATTACATACTCTGCATATATACAGCTCACTGCTATAAACTAACCAGTAGGATGGTTATGTGTCATTCTGCCACTTTCCACAGCAACTTCAATCAACATTTCAATCTGGTCATCGTGTGGAAACATCAAGCCGATACACATGGCTCTCATGGCGGCCCCACAGCCGCCACCTCGTGGGTTGAAGGGAATGACATAGCCTTGCGGCCTTAAGGGCTTTAGTTTGAAACATGCGCCTGTCGTGGTTTGTCCTGGCGCCCTCTCCCACATGTCCTAAATAAAGCGAGAAATAACATCTAGAGTTTTGGTGATGCAATATGGTTTGTGCACCTGAAAATTGTCATTTTGAGACAAAAAATTTCTGTCTACAATATCAATGGCAATTTTATGTCTGTGATAATTAATGCCATCTAGGGGTGCTCCAGAACCAATTGTTTAAGTTCCGGTGGACCAGAAGCAGATCTGGCCGGAACTGGATATAAGTTCCGGTGGGCCAGAACCGGAACTCGGATTTATAAAGCCATATATAGTTGTATGTTACTTTGTCTACTGCCAGACAGGCAGACACTTCAAGTTATCAAGGAAAGAGCTCGCAAATGTAATACAATAAAAAGATTGAAAAATGTTAAATGTTGCAATGAAGTGTTAATAGTGTACATTTTCCTTGTGTAGTCCAAATTTCTTCCTACTGTGAAGTCTGTTTGATCGATATGCTATTCAGTAAATAAACTTGATATTCTATCTCTCTGAAAACGACAGAGTTCCGGTTCCAGCCATGCTTTTTTTATTAGTTCCGGCCAGAACCAGAACTCTGAAAAATTGGGGTTCCGGCCCGCCGGAACCGAGTTCCGGTGCACCCCTAATGCCATCAATGTGCAAGACTCCCCTTGACAAGTTATATCTTCTGTCGTTAGGAAAATAATAAGTTGGGTGCATTTGGGCACATTGCAGCTTAATGGTTTACTGAAAATTGTAAGTTTGTAACATACCTCGGCACAAGCCTTTTTGTACTTGGCAGCCATCGTGCAAAACAGTTGCTCAGTTGTCGACCAATCGGATACCAGCGCTTCAGCAGTTGCGATATGTAGTACAGTATCATCGCTAACCCTCCATCCATCTACATCTACCTTTTCCAGCCCTCCAAGCTGTTGCAATTCCTGATGAATTGCCTCACCGCTGTGACAAAATTCCCATGAGCCGTTTTTATAACCAAGTGCATCGCCAACACCACTGAGCACCATAACAGCTTTGTATTTTTCAGCTAAATCTGTTTCTTCAGCAGCCATAACTTGTTTATACCCTAGTCGCAACTTGAAAACATTGAAAATGCGGAAACGGTTTATTAATTAATAATCCCGTATAAATTTATGAAACGTGAAAGCTTGCACGCCATCAGCAGTTGCAAAAAATAATTTGACACATCGGAAGACATTTATACATATTTTTGATTGTGTGTCGTAAAAAAAAGCATGTAATACTATCCTAAAATTTGCATAAAACGACCTAGAATATATTAATCTAGAATATATGAATCTTATAGAATTGATATAAAATACCTGTATTCAATTTATATTTTACGGTACTATTCTTCAAATTTTTGCAGCAAATAATTTGATACCTTCGATTTTGTTATTTTCAGTGCTTCCACACGGACGTGAAATATTTTACGTGAAAAAGAAATTTGTCTTAATGTAAGAGCATGTGGAAGCATAGTTTCTGTGTTTCCACTTTCGGAAACCGCATTTCCTCGTTAGTGTCACTGGAAAATTTCCTTTTTCAAAATTTCCAGATTACCCATTTCAGGTTATTGTAACAACAACCAGTGAACCACAAAGCGAAGTGTCAGGTTTTCACCTAGGCTCGATTGCCAGCCAGCATTCGGGAAGGTTCCCTGGTAATTGAGCCTAGTTTTCACCCAGGGCTGTTTTCACCCAAAGAGTTGCAATGTACCCTAATTTATTTATTTTACTCTTACACCAGACAATTTTATTCACAGAGTCTTGCACTTTATGGGTTAACACATACATGCACCACTGTGGAAAGTTTGTATTTTGCACTTGAGATTTCATATATGCTATATACTTGCTAATGAATTATGCTATATATATATATTGTTAGTCAGACAATGCACCACAACTTGCCAATGTCAGATGATTTTACTTGACAAGGGAAAAATGGTTGCCCATTTACATGTAATTGTTATGAATCTTGTGTGTGATATACTTGATGCAAATTATGGTACCACAGGGCTTCATGCAAAACATTTATCTGACATTAGGACACCTTGCAAACCAGGCCCTTTACTTCTGCTTTCCTCGGTTGCGGAGGAGGGAAAGTAAAGATTCTGGATTGCAAAGGTTGAACATTAAGTTTGACTCCCAATAGACACTTATAAAAAATAACAACAAATATTGGCATCAAGAAATATTTATTAATTTTCAGTATTCACAAAGACATATACACATGGTTTTCTTCATGTCAGTAGTCTTGTTGAAATGCCTAAAAAGAAATTCAAAAAATTACTATTTCATCTAACTACATATTCTGGTGCAGTCATTGGTGTAATTGCTGTAAATTTCCTCCTGTACCAACACTATACGAACAAGAGATAGTTCTTACTTGACCTCTAAGAATAGTTCACAGTTGCTGTTGGAACCATCCAGTACAAGACATTCAGTTAGAAAATACATGAGAATTTCCAGGGCTATGATATTGAATAAGGGGTGCTTTAAATTGGGAGGTGATATGGGAGCATTAAGACTTCAACAGGGGTGCAGCACGTCACTGCTGTACAAAGTCAGGGTGAGATTTCACAGTGGGGGGCTCACAAATTACCATTTCTAATCCTCATCTTCGTCCTCTCCACCAGATCCACCCTGCGCTCCCTTCTTCATATTCTTGCGCTTGACGCGGCCAGGTCGGCCTCCTCCGTATGGTGACTTAGAGCTGAAATCAATGTGCTTCTGGGAGTCCAGTCGCACAATGAAGGATGGTACATTGACGAGCTGCTTACGAACTCTGAAAGGCATTATAGTCTACAGTTTAATAATGGTTATAAGCCTAAATAAGGTACCGGTTTTACCATACAGTCTTACCCATTACCTATAGATTTATCATCTATAGTCCAGACTGCTAAGTTTTCTTCTCTGAAAAATCAATGCACCAGGATGACAAAATTGCATGCTCTGGCAAAGATCTTCAGTGCACATGGAAAACCGCAAACCTAGCAGTGTGGATTATAGTAAATCATTTCTCTGGTATTTACCATTATTTTGGTACAGTATATACATGTATTTTTTAATTCACCATGATGTTTTTGACATATACCATAACACTTTGTGGCACCTACCATCAAATTTATGGTATATACCATATCACACCTACAAATCACCCTCAAAAAACCCACCTAATATGGCGCTGGAATATAAGCACCCTGGCATGATGGATTGACTTTGCTAGACCCAACTTAAAAACTTGAGTCTGAAGCCTCCTCTCTAAGAAATCCTCAATTCGGAGACCCAAAACGTAATCCAACTTCATCCTGCTCTCGTCTAACACACCGATTCGCACAAGCCTACGTAGCAAAGCGTTTCCCTCGAACAAACGACGTGGGTCTTTCTCGTCGAGGGTCAACAATTCTCGGGCCGCTTTACGAATTTTGGCCAAAGTGTACTTCACACGCCATACTTCGCGTTTATTTCGTAGCCCATATTCACCAATGATCTTTAATTCTTGGTCCAAGCGTTCTTTTTCAAAGGGACGACGCGGGGTCGTGAAGGTTTTCGAGCAAACTGGTTTGGGCATCTTGACTCGTTCAAGATGGCGGCGAAAAAAGAAAGAAGGTAGGAAAAGAACACGTGGAAATCCCTACCTGCCCCGCGCGCTCGGGACGAAAATTTTTCGAGGAAATTTATTCACGGTTGTATATAGCCAGTGAGCTCTATATATATATCTGGAGCAAGAACTTCAGTCATTCGGTCAATGAGAAAAATGAAGCCAAAATGGCGGCCATTGACGTCCAATAGCTCTGAAGATCGTAAACAGTTTTTATATCATTTTCCCAAGCTAAATCCAGTTTTTTCTAATGTACCGTATCACTAATCAAGTTTTCAGTTCATAAAATCACAGTATTATTATCGAAGTCAAAATACGAAATTTCAACACACTCCTTGCCAAGATGGCGGAAATTGAAGGAGCTGTTGGACGCAGTGAACTCTAATATTAGCATAGATTATAGATTATACCAGATGTCTCACTCAGCCAAAATTGTGTCCGCGATTTTTTATGAGCACGCGTTGGCCGCCATTTTGGCAGTAAGTGTAATTCACGCCATGAAACGTGAGCAATCACGCCTTTTGGCAGTAAGCGCCATTTTGGCAGTAAGTGTCGTACGCGTCATCTGGCGTGATAGCCTTGCAAAATCGCGGACACGAAAATCATAGAGATAGATACACAGTGAGACATCTGGTATGATCTATAATCTATGATATTAGCGAGCTTAAGCAAGTGACGTTTTTGACAACACGGACGTCGACCGGAAGTAAAGTTGACGTTTTTCACCAATCACAGCCCTTGACCCAGTCTTCTGACGTTACTCATGCCGTTCGTGTTGTCAAAAACGTCACTTGCTTAAGCTCACTAATATAACTCCTATGATGAAATAGGATAACTCCTATGATGAAAGTCTATGATTCGTTGAAGCCTGCGCGCGGGAAAATCAGCTTTCAAAAGGACTAAGGAGAGTTTCGAGGAGTGAAAAAAATTCTGTCAAAAGTTTGTTTTCGAGCAAAAATTTGCAAGAAAAACACTTTTCCCATGGGAATACAACAATGACTTGGGATTTAAACCAAGTTTCCGATTAGTTCCGACTGTTTTACATCTCTCTGCAGCAGAAAGTAAGGAATTTTGCTTTTGTATTTTGAAAAAATGACGAAAGTTTGGACGTGCCGAAGGAAATCTCGCCGTTCAAACCAAAAATATATACTATAAAACATTTTGACAGTCCCAAAACTTATGTTGTACTAAACCCCAGGTATTGTTATTGATCCTGAGCTTTTAGTCCTTGTTTTAGTCGCTCTTAAACATAAATAAATTGGCGTTTTTCAAGTGATGTTATTTTCGTCATCGGCATCTTGTTGGCCACTATGAGCACTTTGAATATGGCAATATTTTTGTCAAATTTCAAATGCTTTTTTTTCGACCTTAAAACGTTAAATCTTCTTGAAACTTCGCATACAGATGTATTTTGCATGGGTATAAAAAATTCCTGAGGTATGACGTCTTAGTTTTATCTTAAACTTCCAAAAACTCAGAAAAAGCAGCCTAAAACGCGCGGTTTTTCTGACCGTTCATGCTTATGGCCGTGTTTTTTCGTATTTTTTTGCTAATTCGTGATTTGTTTGCTTTGCGAATATTAAATTCATTTATCATACTACTGATATATATTAAATTTGGTAGTATAACTAATATTTTGGGGCAAGATTTTTCTGATAAAAAAATGTGCATATTTTGAAAAAAAAAAATTTAAAAAGACTGGGTCTACCTACAAAAAAAGCTTCAAGCACGGCTTCAACTTACCCCCCTGACTTAGCCTTCCAGTTATTATTAGAGTTCACTGTTGATTACGTGTTGTATCATCATCAACCGTTCGCTGACGCGAAATGTCGCCATCGAGAAAAATTCAGCGCTGGGAAATTCGAACGCGCGCGAACAAACAAGTTAACGCGTCAGCGAACGGTTGATGATGATGCAATCACGTAATCAATAACAAAATCGTGAACAAAACCGCCTGATGATCGTCTTATATATATATATATATATATATATATATATATATATATATATATATATATATATATATATATATATATATATATATATATATATATATATATATATATATATATATATATATATGAATGGGTGTGAGGTACCATGTCTGGATAGTGTTAGCCTGCGTGGCAGGCGGTATTTCTACAGGCAGCGAAAATTAGGGAGGCAAAGGAAATACCGTCTGCCGCAAAACTAGGGGTTTTTGAATTACCCGTCCGCTGGTGAACGGAAAAAACGGATTGGTTAGTATTTTTATGTAGTTGTCAATCAACGGCTAAATTCGTTAAATGTTAATCATTAACCAAATGTTTTGACGTTTTGAAACTCTGCGTTTTGAAATTAGTTCACGTCAAGTCAGACCAGAAATGGAATAATTATAATATAAGAAGCAAATTTAAAGATACAAGCTGAAAAATAACACTCTAAGTAGAGTTTCTGATAGAGATTCGAACAAGAATATTTAACAAAGAAGATACGTCCGAAGGGGCCGAAGTTATGATCGGCGAAAGGTATGGGCTAGTCTATATTTTCGTTCAGACAATTACATGCGTTTAATTTGATAATATACGATCTCGCTTGACTTTCAAAGGCCATAAATCGCAATAATGTTGACATTTTACTAAAACTATCGATAGAAATTAGAAGATATTTCTTCACTGAATCGAACAGTGGGATTTTCATATAGGCCTATCATGTTCTGAACCAAAGATACTTGATAGATATTATATACGAACCTCCAAAGTATAAACAAGGGGCCGGTTGATGCAGTAATTATCAAATAACAATTAAACTCTTATATACCCGTTGAATATGTATAGTTGTAAACAAATAAAAACTATCGTTCTATAAGGTTCAATACTTTCAGTTTGGTTGTTGACTGATGATGAATCTATAGTATAGACTTGCATGCTTTGTATTTTGAGCTTATTAAACCACCGCTTTAAGGCAGCTAAACGGCTAAACGGGCTTGGTTTATATTAACACATAAAATAAATTCCTTGATTCTCATCACTAGACACAGTCTACACTTTGAAATGTCAAAGACAGTGGGAGATTTATTTTTTATATTTTATATTTATATAATTTATATATCAATAGTTCGTATCTCCACTAACAATGACAGAATGACTGGGTTTCTTTAAAATACAATGAAATTTCACTCAAAATTCTGTTTGTTTCAAATTGGAAGTTTAAAATGGCAATAAAAACTCTATATAAAATATGAAAAAATTAACTGTCTTGAATTATTTTGTCGGGCGGTACATTTATATTGTGTAACTAAAAATAAAACGTTTTCACGAGGATTTTAAAATTCAGTCGGGCGGTGATGAGAATCAAGGAATTTATTTTATGTTGGGCACAGTGCTTCCATTTTCAAAATTAAAATTTCTCATTTTTGTCATCAAAATTTCTCTAAATTCCTTAGATTGTATACGTTATTTCCTTGAAAATTCCTTGAAATTTCATTAGGCGGTTTGCAGACCTTTGCAGTGCTTTTGTAGCAATACAAAGGATTTAATCAATTGTAAAGGCACAAAATAGCACAATTAACAAAGATAATTGCTAGCTAAAAAACCACAGGCTATTATACTGTTTAAAATTAAATATTTGTTCAGTGAGTTTACAACATATACCTTTCCATTGATATAAATAATTAATTCACACCGTTTGGCGCCAAAAGATACCAAATCCTGTCGCTCAAAAACTTTCGGAAGTTTTCGGAAACACGAGGAAAAAGTTAAAACCAGATTTTTAATTGAACATAATTGATAATTCACTCAAAAATTCAAGAAATAGCGAAACATTCTTCTGCACTAATGCACTTGGATGAATATTTAAGTTGTTGGGAAAAAATCCTTAGATTTCCTTAGATTTTTTCTCTTCCTTAGATTTTCCTTTTCGACACTAGAATTTCTTTAGAAAAGGAAATTTCCTTGAAAATGGAAGCACTGGTTGGGCAGTTGGGACTTTGGAGCAGCTTGGGAGTGGCTAATTTTGAATATTTACTTAATTAATGCATCTATAAATAGCGTTGATGCTTCAGGGGCGGTAGTTCATTTACACCCAGTTTTGCGGCAGGCGGTATTTCCTACGTACCGCCTGCCATGCAGGCTAGGTTGTATAGGAATCGTGTTATAATTTTTGTTTCTCATTTTTGTTCAAATAAAATCTGCTAATTCTAAGTTAAATTAGGGCATTGGGCGTACTAGAAATCTTGATGAGCTTTTTGTTTATGACATCTTGCTATAATATGCTCTTAATTTTTAGTCTTTACAGAAAATCATTGTTAAAAAATTCTGGAATTTTCTAAAGAAATTTCCAGTCAGACAAAGTAGAACAAATGTTTTTAAAAGCAATTTATATCGAAATTCAAAAATATTAAAAATAATGCGAAAATTAACGAAATGAAATGTCTTTTTTAAAGGAAATTTGGAGGAAATTTTTGCAAAATGATTTTTTGGAAACACAGAGTTAGTTACCAGTCTCTCAGATTTCGTTTTGCGCGTTCAAGATGGCGACTTTCAGAAGAGTGACGGGTTTTCTCTTAAGAAAAGTCAGCGAAACTTCGTTTGTCGGGAGGAGTAGCGGTTTATTTTTATGCAGGTAATGTTAGAAATACCTCATGGTTTTTATCTGAGTGTTTTTTAGCTTTTAGGCAAATTATTATCATGTATATTTTATGAATAATTAGGAAGGTACTCTGCCCCGGGCTCCCAGCTTAAAACTGGGTTATCATGACCTTTTGAATTTGTTTTCTTTGTTTGAAACAAAGAGATCAAAGAGCCGTTTTTAACAATGTTAAAATTCCTTGATACAAGATCAATTAACTGAGAAAATGAATCCTAGAAAACGACAATGTGCAATAAAGTGTAATATATTGTAAACACCTGTTTTACAATTATATGATATCCTAGGAGCCCCCTGGGAAAGTTTTGCCCCGGACCCCATGTGCAACCTC